TTTGAAATCGAAGGGTGTTACCATAATTTACTTACCTCAGTTACATAACATAGAAAATTCACTTCAAGTACTAGGGTGACAAAATAATCAAAAACCTAACCAAAATATTCCAGAATTAATAACCATATGACTGGACATCTCAATTTTATTCTCAATATAACTAAACATTTAAACCCCTTATTGTTGCCAGCCATTAATCCCATAAATAAATCTTATTTATTTATTTATTTATCTTTATTTTTCTTCTATCCGAAATTTGAGCACAAAAATCAGATTATGCATTTATATATATGTACATAACACACATATACAAAATTCTCCAAATTCATGGACAACATGGAGGAACCGGCTTTGGCAAAACAATAGCTAATTTTACGAGATTTTTTTCTAACACCTCACAGCAGCCAATTAATACCCAATCACGTAAATTCTACATGAATTAAGCTTAAATTTGTTCTAATTGCTATCGGAATTCATCCTCTATTTCATCAAAAATTCGGACAGCACAGGGGCGGCAGTTAATGGATAAACTCAGCAACTAATGGGTAATTTTGGGACTTAGAGGGAACTATCACATACCAGAAATTCAGCAAGTAGAATCAGAGCTGGCGGGTTGGGGAAACCGGCGGGAAGTGAAGGAGAACTTAGGGGATCTACCAGAAATTGGGAGAAGCCAAAAAAAATTAGAGTAAATCCAAGCCAAATCAAGGGAGAAAAGAGGAATCAGTGGCTGTTTTCTTACCAGAAACCTGAAGAATTCACACCCACAAACCAAGAGCTACGAACAGAGGGGAAGGAACAAAGCAGATTTAAAATTTTCTGTAGGGGGGAAGATTTCTAAGTTCTAAATCTTGTTCTTGAACAAGAAAATAAAGGGAAAGAATCAAGCTTTTACCGTTTCTCAAGAGGGTGGGTGTGTCGGTGGTTTGGCTTCTTGTTCGACTGCAAGGGAGAAGAAGAAGAGCAGAAATGCGTTGTTGAGGAAGAAAGAAAGAAGAAAAAAATTTCAGCCGATCCTTATCCAAATTCTTTTCTCTTTTAAGTCCCTCAAATTTGAAAATTTTATGATTAGGCTTAACAACATTATTTTCTCACATTGTTCTAGAAATTTTTGGGGTATTACATTTAGTCTCCCAAGGCGCTTCAATATCAAAAAATTGTGGAGTCCTTTTTTGTCTTTTAACAACCCATCAAAGTTGAATGCCTCATATACCCATCATTTTTTCTCTTAATTGATGCCTTTTTTAGTCATTATAATCTTTCACCTAGTATATCTCTCCAATTCCACCATCAAAGTTCCTTTTTTACCACTTCACTTTTGTCTCGCAAATCACTTTTTATTGGCCTAGCTAAATTTTTGTTTTAATTTATATTTAAGTGTAAGATTATTTTATATAACAATATTTTTTCTTATTTTTTACAACAAAAATCATATGTTAGTATGAATAATTTTTTAAAATAAAAAATAGATTTTGATTGTATCTTTTAAAAATTAATTGAGACTTTAATGTTACATTTTAAGTGATTTATCATGCCATTTACAGAAAAATAGTGATTTACTGTCTTAATTTTATAAATTTATGTGAAATCTAAAGTGATATTTTAAGAATAATAAAGAAAGTAATGTACAATCTACAAATTGCTTGATGATATTATCACTATTTAATGTTGGTAAAATATTGTTTTCGTATTTTATTATTGAAAATGTGTTTTAAATTCAAATTGTACCAAATTGCAACATATGAATCCTTGAATGAGGAGCAAACTCATGATATTGAAAGTCTTCCCCATCTAAAGGTCTTTATTTTACATTTTAGTATAATTCAAGCTACAAAATAATGAACTCTTTTATTATTTGTTTCTAACAATAAATTTTTAGTTATAGCATTTTCTTTAAAAATAAAAATACATTTCAACAACAGAGCAGATTGGAAAATACTAGTAAATATAAGAATTATAAATCTTCTCTTCTTCTTGTCTCTGTCATCATTCAATTTTGGTCATTTCTCTCACTTCATTTGTCACATTGTGTTTAATGTTTTGACCCCATAGAAGAGCTCTAATAATGTGTTAGCTATTTTAGGGCATCATGGGCTTCATATCCTAAATCTATGTTCCTAACATCCATCTTCCCATCTAAAATTTCCATTTTACCCTTTAACTTCTACATTTTTGAATTAGTGGAGTACAAAATGATTATTCATTTATTAACCCTTCTTCATGAGGAAAGGAGTGATGAGAGAGAAAGGAAGAGCATCGAACTTAGGATTCTTATTATTAGATATCTTTTAAAACAACTCTACCTCTATGTCTTTCTTATATGTTCCTATCTCTCTCTAAAAAATGTTGGATGGCAATATTGTAAGATCGAAAAAAGTAAATGGCAAAAACAATTTCCACTCACATTTGCCATATTAATGAGACTTTGGGAGAGGATGCTATTTTTATGATTATAGGTGATTTTTGGGCTTTTTTTGTTAATGGATATTTATATTTACATACTTATTTTGCACTTCAATTTTACCTCTCAAGCCACTTTCATACCTAAAGCATTCAAGGCCCTTTTTTGCCATTTTCTTCTCTCATGATGTTTTTGTTTCTCTTCATTTTGGTTTACTTCACTTATATGTTATGGATTTAACTCATATCTTTTTTCTT